CGGAAATCGAGGGGTTATGACGTCATTGGCAGGCGACACAATGACACTATAAACACGGTCCGTGTCACCAGTTAAAATTGCTTATTTCTCTGGATTTAAACATTCTTTGAAACATTTGGGATAATGTAAGTACACCAGCAAAATATATAACACTGTTCTAGTGGTTTTTGGATATTTTAATAAAACAATCTTACATATTGTGCCTTTAAACAACTCATACACACCACGAACTTTACATGAATGTTTATGTAATATTTATTGTGTTAATACTGATACTGGCTCTACGGTTTGGGATAAAACACCTTGATGTGGATTGCGGAGTTATTTCGGGTGCGTGTCAGCGGCTCTCCCGCCTCGTCCGGATCCTCGGGCTCCAGATCATCTATGAGCTCTACGGTGGATGTGTTGGCCGCCAGCTGCAACGCACCCTGGCTGGACGTCTGAAGCTGCAGGGCGATGTTAATGGCCCGGTTGATGGCCAGTCCCAGACCGTGGATGCAGATTTCCCTATGAGCGTCCAGAAGTTTCTGACACCTCGCCAGCTGGGCCTTGAAGTCTGTTTTCATATTGACGTAGACGTCGTTCCGTCGTTTGGGCAATTTGCGGGGCAGACGCTTGCGGAGGGTGTACTCCATCGGGTCCATCTCAAGGGTCGAGCCCTCCGGGGTGGGCAACACCATCGGATTGTGGGCTACAGATGCGGATACCGGGCTGCGTGGCTCGGCCATGTCAAATCACTGGAAAAGCACTGTACAAACAAAACAAGACATCCGTTAATGAACGTTAAATGATGATCTGTTTTTTTTTTCAGCGAGGGAAAATTACACAGCAGACCTGTCCGCGCTCATAAATGTTCTAAATTGGCACTAAGGTTAGCAATTGAATATATTCATTATTTATGTTGGATTTTATATAATATTAATGATATTATGATCATATATCTAGGAGTACAAAATAGCTAAATTAATGGCGACTAATTCATAAACGTTTTTGATTAACTTAAAAGAACCGGCTCATATGAGTCAATCGGTTCAGGAATCGGACTATGTTATTGATTCACTAAAAAGAACCGACTCATATGAGTCATCGTTCGTGAAACGTTATACACTGGTCGCGCTGTATGTTCAACGTCCCTTATTCTATTGTCTTTGGTATGTTTCACTCTATCGTTGCGGCGCCGCTAAACAGAAAAGAAGGAAACACTTAACTACTACTGCGTTCCGTTCAGGTAGCATTTTTCGTTGTCGAATTGTACTACAGACTGTTTTAATGGGAGGTAACGTTAGCAAAATCTGACAGGGTAGCACAAATCGACAGAACACCGGTCGAGAAACATTCGGTTCTGGTATATTTTGCATGGAAGTTGATGGAACCTGTTCTCGTTTGCTACGTCTATGTCATTACCGTCATTATCGACATGCTACATTAAGCATGAGTAGTACCTTGAATTAGATGAGCTTGTTTTTCAGCTGCACTGTTAACTAGCTGGTAAATAAATGAATTCGCGTATTTGCAGGTTCGTCTTCTCTCCTCAAGTACCGGAAGACCTCTCACTTACACAGGAACGGATACTTAAGTTGCTCTGTTTGATTACACAATACATACTGCTCTTTTCTTGGATGAAACTTATATATTTTTTTATTTCGCATATTATATAATTATAAATTAAGTCAAATAAAATAAACTGTTTCTATGTGTCTTAAGTTGCCAATTTGAAGCTGAACATGGCTAAAACGTCGATTATTGCGCTTTGAGGGACTTTTATTTTGAAATTCAACCAGTTTAGAGGCGTAGTGTGTTTGGAGAGCACACTCACTGAACTTTATAAAATATCTGTCTTATTTGTCTGGTCTTTTAATTCACTCTTTATCTAGTTTAATTTAAGCCATGTCGGACACATGGAGCCACATCCAGGCGCACAAAAAGCAGCTGGATTCCCTGCGAGAGAGGCTGCAGAGGAGAAGAAAAGACACAAATCAACTGGGCATCGGTGTGTTGAGTAAATACATGCTGTGAGATCTGCAAAACTATTAACTGCACCTTAAATGGCATTTAAAATACTACCCAGATATGTAATGAGAGTCACCATTGCAAGCCATCTTGCTCATACAGTCAGCTTTATTTACTTGATATCTAATGCTGAATATAGAGACCACACAAGATACTGTCAGAAGTGTGGCATCATGATGCTGAAACTTTAAATGCATGCCAAAGGAAGAATGAATCCTGTTTCAATCAGGTTTATTTTTGCAATAGTGAGTTTAGTGGGTCTGTGGTGCCAGTTCCTGTATTAGATCTTGTTTTTAACAGAGATTGGAGGTGTTGAGGGTGGATCCGTAAGGAGTGACAGCCCTGGACCGGCACTACAGAGTCCTCCGCAAGTGGAAGTTGAGCAGCCTCCAGACCCGGAACTAGAGAAGAGGCTGCTGGGATACCTGTCTGAACTGAGTCTTTCTCTGCCAATTGATTCCCTAGCCATCACCAACCAGTTAAACACAGTAAGACATGTGTGCATGCTTGTGTACACAACCAGTCAAAAACCTGAACATGTACTCATTATTACTATTTCCCGCATTTGAGAATTTTTTTTTTAAAGTTTTTAAAACTGTGAAGTACGTGGATAATGTGAATCATAAAAAACTTATTGTGATTACTCTAGAAACACTCATATCTATGTTTTTGTCTTTCTGTCCTTCTCACCCTCCCTCATTTGCAACTTTGACTCAGTCTGAGTCTGCAGTTTCCCATGCCTGCATCCAAAGTCTCCTCCTCAAATTTTCTGCCCAAGAACTTATTGAAGTTCGGCAGCCATCCATCACTGCCTCCTCGTCCTCTTCCTCCTCCACCCTTGTCACTTCAGTCGACCACACCAAACTATGGCCTATGATTGGCAGCACAGCTCAGCCACAGAGAACTGCCATTAAAAGAAAAGCAGATGACATCATCCATCAAAAAAGAGCCCCAGGCTCCTCCCCTTTGCTTCAAGCACCATCTTCACCTCCAAAGAAATCCTCTGCCTCACTGGGTCCTGCCTCAAACTCGCAGCTTACTGGATCCTCTGGGGTTGGAGGGGGTGGGCCTGAGAAAAAAGGGCGGAACAGTAAGGTGCAAGCATCTCATCTGGACATGGAAATTGAGAGTCTACTGAGCCAGCAGTCCACTAAG